TGTGAAGGATGTCCTCAACAGGACAAGGGAGGTATATGCATACATACGCCGTAATGGCGAAGCCGTGATCCGGCGTAATTCAAATTTATATTCGGGGAACCAGGAAGAGTGGGAACCAGGCTGTTTAGTCTGGTATTGCAGCCCCAGACCGGTACCAGGGAAACCAGACAAGTTGGTGAATGCTTGGCGTGGGCCTTTCAAGGTGGTCCGGCGCATAGCTGAGGTTTTAGTTGATATCTGTCCTTCCGGCACAGAAGGGAAAACCTTGAGGGTACATGTGACACGCCTGAAGAAGTATCAGGCCAGCTCCAGGACCGTGTTGAAGGACACCGTGGATGCCGACATGGAGGGTGAGGAGATAGCAGGAAGTAGCCGACAAGATGAATTACCTAACTCAGTACGTGGTGTACATGGGTTTGGCAGTACAGGCAGTTAGTGCGTTCATGTTGGATTACACGGATTGTGTAAATCCAGCTAAGATTCGGAGAGTGGGTGTTAACGTTTGCCACGGCAATATGGAACAACCTAGCTCAGCAACCCAGGACAGTAACTAGGCTACAAGGATATAAGTGCAAAATCAAGGAGAGCAGGTTCAGATACTTCTGTGGGGCTTTTTCTCATCAAAAGGTGGCCAAGGTACCCACGATACAGCATGATGTGTTGGTTTCAACCGAATGGTGTAGGCTGATGAGTACCCAGAGGCAGTTTCGACCACCAGGTAGCAACCAGATATTCGACATCTTGATCGACCAGACTACTTACGTTCAAATTGCAGCAGCAGGAGAACTCAAGGTGGCGGACGACAGGGTCGGATGCAGGGGAGAACAAATGCACACCGGCAATGGGTTGGTAGACGACTTGATGGAACTGGTGGAGTATTCTATTCTGGTGGAGTCTGAGGAGTTTGTGGCCCTGGGCCAGTTGGTGGAGAGTAAGAGTGATCATGTGGAACTTCCATGCAAGCTGAATTCAGGAGGTTGTGAGACGGGAGACGGGACGTTCATATATAGTTACACTCCTACCTGTTCATTCGAAAAGATACAAGTATTCACGGGCACACGGGTGATGGGCTCTTACCTGGTAGATGAGAAGAAGGCCATTCTGCTCAACGTTACTGGAGTAACGATGGCGCCACAGGAGTGCGGCAGCGTGAAGCTATTATCCACCAATTATCCAGAACTGTTTGCGGCGGAGTTGGTAGATGTGGTTAGTTGGGGGACTTTGCATCCAGCAGATCTCCATGTAACTATTCAGGAACGAGTGAGAGAAGATTACCTCGCCTACAAGCTAGAAAGGCGGATGCAGTCGGTTCAGGAGATGTTAACAACTACAATATGCCAGCAACAGGTGACCGGGTCTGAAGAGATTCCGCAGAGGTTACCTAACGGGCAGTATGCCTACAGGAGAGGAGATGTGCTGTTTGTATTGTCTTGCGTACAGAAACGGGGAGCGATTGCAGAACTGTCCGCCTGTTATGACAAGATACCGATCGATCAGAATGGGCAAGTGTGGGTAGATCCTGCTACCAGACTTCGTACCCAGCACGCTACTCAGTTGCCCTGCTCCAGTAAGTTCCCACTAACTATTCAGGTATCTAATACCACTTGGGTAGCTGTTACACCGGCACTGGTACCAGTAGCAGCTCCGGAACAGCTCACACTGGAGGAAGATAACGCGGTGGACCATCTGGACATGTCTGTTAGCGGCCCATATACTGAAGCCGAACAGAGAGAATGGGAACAGATGTTGGAGTACCCTTCCTACCACAAGGCTTTGTTGAAGTCAGTTACCATAGGGAGTTGTGTGGAAACCGATTCCTGTGCAGCGGGAGTCAGTGACTCCATAACAAGGTATGACCTGACCGGCTTAACAAGGAGTTATGAGGAACTAAATATCTTCTCACGAGTAGATAAGGCGATAAGAGAGTATGGGGATTATCTCGCGGCCTTAGTCCTAGTGATTATGGCAGTTCGGATGATTGTCCACGTGTCCGTCATGGTGATGGCGTATCTACAAGGAGGACCTGCTATGGCCCTAGCCATAGTTTTGACTACTTGTTGTGGAGCCAATGAGACGCTGCAGAAGATGAAGAGAAGACGACATCGAGCGGAAGAACTTCCGTTGCAAGTTCCAAAGGCGGACCCGAAGGCGGAGACATCCGCCCCTCTTTTACCTACTCCAGCTCCCACCGTATCTTTCCAAGCACCATCAGGACGCAGATTTCTTTAACATGGGGATTTTCTTTTTCCTCAGGGGAAGTTTTATATTTTGGGAGGGGAGTCAAAATAAAAAAACTTGAGGGGGATGTAAGGATTTGGGTGTATACCGGGAAGTCTTAGCCTAGACCTTGAATTCAACCAGTTGTGTGGGGTGGATTCCAACCCAGGACCTGCAGACAATTATTGAGTACGGGTTTTAAAACTTGACTTTACCAGCTTATTTCCTACTTGTTCCAGGGATATATTTCTTCACAATAATATTTACTACTGCTTGATGCTTCTATAATCTTTTCTTCGTGTAATAAAACAAAATCTACTTTATCATAGTTTGTAGTCTATAACAGGGCTAACCTGTATTTAAACTGTATACTTTGACTAAATAAACAGTATAGTACCATCTATATTCCTAGCTTGTTGGTAGTGAACCTAGTAGTGATCAGCTATTCATAGACTCTAAATATTGAACTGAAGATAAGAGAATAGATTGTAGTAGAAAGGGAGTTGCTGTCTATAGACTCTGAGGTCTTGTAGTTTCGAGTTGGATTTGGAAGATTAGAGTTTGAGGCAATCCCCATTCTGGGACTTAACTGAGTTTTGTTCACTACTGAAGTAGTTTGAGTTTACCCGAGTTGAGATATTTTCTGGCTAGCTTTTCCTTTGAGCTCATTTTAGTAAAGGGACTGTGCTTGATATAAGAGGACGAGGATCCCCCACTTTTCAATTAAAGGATTTTTGCAGTTTATCAATTTTACTACAACATGACTCCCATATAATATTTCTATTATTGTCTTTGGTATCAACTTAACAAATTATGGAAGAAGACATTCTAAACATTCTAAACATTCACCAACTGTCATGTTTCCCTTTATATACAGGGTGTCCCACGGAACAAAACTTGAAAGTCGTCTTTGATCTATGAAAATAGTTGCGGATAAATTCGTCAACCTGGAACCTACTGTTGTTTTATTCATATCTTTTATACAATAATTCCAATATTCCCCTTCTCCTGCCAAGGGCGTATACAGAAATAAATGTAGGGGGGGGCAAGATTTGCGCGAAGCGCAAAAAATTTTTTTGCCCCCCCCTAGGAGCTCCTAGGGGGGGGCAAAATTCGAACTGTAAATTCATAACACTTGGCTTCTTGGATATCAGGCATAAGTATAAGATACTTAAAAGGCACACATACAGTCCAAATAATTACCTTCTAAGCATTGTTTCTAAAAAATCGACATTTTATTATACTTTTATAGGTATATTTAGTATTTAAACTAGAGATAGTAAAAGACATTTTTGAAAATAAAAACTTAACTTAAACTTAAATTCTATGAGATGAAAAGAAGTACAAAGGTCCAGAAAATAATTATGACTTGTAAAAGTTTCTGTTGTGAAAAAAAGTAGGAGTACAATTGCTGCAACCAAGAATGAATGATAACTCAAGGCTTATAAATAACAGTATTTGCTTCATGATAATTATTAGTCAGCAATTCACAGATACCAGTCACAACGGCAACTTTTAACAGACTCACATCACATCACTACTAAACAAGACTAGCATATAATGTAAAGTGTGTGAGCTGTACAAATGTATGCAGACTGTGTGTTCTCTGAACCCAACTAAACTCTGTGTACTCTGTGAACTTAAAAGTTAAAATTAGGTTAGGTTGGTGAGGTTAACTTGGTTACAGCATGAGCACTGCACTGTAATTATATATATTTTAAAATTTTGATTTTTTATAATAATCATGAAAAGCAAACTTATTTTTTTTGTGTTCTTCACTCTTCAGTTAAGATTTGAAAAGTGTGTAAGGCTTGCAGAATTCTAGGGGGGGGCTACGCCCCCCCCTTTACAAGTCTAGGGGGGGGGCACTGCCCCCCCTGCCCCCCCCCCTGTATACGCCCTTGTACTCCTGCCATTTCCAAAATGTGATATTACCGGAGATTTCATTCAGATTTAATATACCTCAGCTTTCGACCTATACCCCCTTTCATTTTTCCTTTACAGTCCCTTTAATATAAAACCAAAACTGCAACTTGTACAGACTGAGCTGGTTTTTTGTGATTTAATTCAAGAATTCTATTTTTAAAATTGGTTTCGGAATGAGTGCTGCAAATTATCTCAAAGATCATGAGACGATTTTTAAGTCTCACAGTGCAGTCGCCCACATAAGTCGAATCTTTTATGGGTAACCCTGTTTTTTTTATCTACGGGAGGGGGTTGGAATATCTTAAAATTTAAGTTGAAAAAAGACGACATTTTGAAAATACTTTGTTGGCGTTGAATTGGTGTCTGATGAAACCCGTATAAAGAAAGAAAGAACTTAGTTAGAATTGGTATGCTGGAGAAATATGATCTTGGACGGATTTTGCTAAATTTTTTTTATTAATTTTATTATAACAGGAGCGCTTCACCCCTTCACTGAGTTTAACTTGCTGGAACGAATTGTTTAAAGAAACTGAAACATTCTGATATAAGTTCTGATATAAACTACAGGTTTAGGTTGGACTTGGATCACAAGAATTTCAGACGGAACCAGTTCTCATTTTCTCCAGTTATAACTTGTAATTGCTTGACCTGAAGAATTCAATTTAGCTCTGATTTTCTCCAGCTTTAAGCGACACGTTGAAAACCTAAACCTTAGACATATCTTGAGCTCTGATTTACTCCTGACTTAAGCCAGACCTGGAGAATCAGAACTTTGGACCAATCCAGCTCGATTTACTTTGGGGTTAACTTAGAGTCTGATGGAGCTGAACTAGAACTTCGGACATATCTATACCAAGATTAAGCTTGACTTGGAGAAACTGATTTAGAACCTCGGACGTATCCTGCTCTAATTTTATCCAGGTAGTAGCTGAGAGGTGGGAGGACGAGAGGAATCTTCAGAAGTATTGTTAATCCAGGAATATAGAGCGCATACTAAAAATAATATAATATAATTTTAAATAGTATAATATCTTAATTTAAAGGTTTTTAGGTAATAGATTATCAAAATTCATAAAATGTCATTACTTTGAAAGATTTGCAGTCTAATCTGATTTACAAATTAAAGTCTCGACATTTAAACTGATTTTCAAATCAAAGACGACATTTACCTGAAAGGAGGAAGGAATGCCGCAACTCGGTCCGTTTATGTACGGCCAGCCGTAGAACATGTCATGCGCGCACAGAAACAGTAATGAAGTCCAACCTTGAAAATGTTTTAATTAATCATTTATCATTACGAATCTATGATTTATTATGAGAAAACTACCTTTTTTTCAAATATTGACACAGGCTTGTATATTTTCATGGCTAATGAATATCTTTTTTCCAAAAAGCCCCTAATTAGAATCACAGCGCATAAATGCAATCTCAGCTGTTACTTCTTAAAACGAGATTAAATCTTTGAAAAAACACGTGAAAGCTTACCTAATCAGGATTAAATCTTCTCCCCCTGAAAACTAACCTAAAGTGCGGATTAAGTCATCTAAATCTCCTGAAAACTAACTTAATTAATCCGGATTTAATCTCATAAAACCCCTGAAAACTCACTTAGACCGGAAATAATCTCCTGATAACTCACCTAGACTGAATTAAGTCTCCTAAAACCCTTTATAATTGACCAATAGACCGGATTGAATCTCCTAAAACTCCTGAAAACTCACCTAATCCGGATTAAATCTCCTTGAACCCTGAAAACTAGCATAATCCAGATTGAATCTCCTAAACTTCTTGAAAAAAAACGAGGCTTAGCTGAAGTTCAGACTAAAATTCCTGAAACCTCTTAAAGCACCCCTAGTCTACTTTGAAATAAATCTAAAACCCCCCTAAAAACGCACCTGTTCCAGATTGAATATCCTAAATCTCCTAAAAAATCACATAGACCAGATGGAATCTCCTAAAACCCCTGAAAACTCACTTAGTTCGGATTAAATCTCCTGAAACCCATGAAAACTCACTAAGACCAGATTGAATCTTCTAAAACCCCTGAAAACTCACCTAGTCCGGATTGAATCTCCTAAAACCCATGAAAACTAACCTAGTCCGGATTAAATCTCCTAAAACCCATGAAAACTCACAAAGACCAGATCGAATCTTCTAAAACCCCTAAAAATTCACCTAGTTCGGATTGAATCTCCAAAAACCATTGAAAACTGTCCTAGTCCAGATTTAATCTCCTAGAACCCTTGAAAACTCACTTAGTCCGGATTGACTTTCCTAAAACCCCTGAAAACTTATCTAGTCCGGATTGAATCTCTAAACGACCCTTGAAAACTGACCTAGTCCAGATTAAATCTCCAAAAACCCCTGCAAATACCTAATCCGGATTGAATCTCCAAAACCCCTTGAAAACTGACCTAGTCCGGATTGAAACTCCTTAAACCCCTGAAAACTCACCTAGACCGGATTGAATCCACTGAAACTCCTTCCAAGACAAGGTTTGTGTAACAGAAGGAAGAGAAGATATCCCGAGGATAACAACCAAACCAAACCCAAAAACTCCTGATTACAAAAAGATATCGATGATTTCGAATTCATAATATTTAAGCAATTATAGCGATTGTATTTGATGTACGTTACAAATATACGTGTATTTAATGTACGTTACAAATGTACGTGTATTTGATGTACGTTACAAATGTACGTGTATTTGATAAACGTTACAAATGTAAGTGTATTTGATGTACGTTACAAATCTACGTGTATTTGATGTACGTTACAAATGTTCGTGTATTTGATGTACGTTACAAATGTTCGTGTATTTAATGCACGTTACAAATGTACGTTTATCTGATGTACGTTACAAATGTACGTGTATTTGATGTACGTTACAAATGTACGTGTATTTGATGTACGTTACAAATGTACATATATTTAATGTACGTTACAAATCTACGTGTATTTGACGTACGTTACAAATGTGCGTGTATTTGATGTACGTTACAAATCTACGAGTATTTAATGTACGTTTCAAATGTAAGTGGATTTGATGTACGTTACAAATGTACGTGTATTCGTTGTACGTTACAAATGTACGTGTATTTGATGTAAGTTACAAATGTACGTGTATTTGATGTAAGTTACAAATGTACGCGTATTTTGTGTACGTTACAAATGTAAATGTATTTGATGTACGTTACAAATCTTCGTGTATTTGATGTACGTTACAAATGTAAGTGTATTTGATGTACGTTACAAATGAACGTGTATTTGATGTACGTTACAAATGTACGTGTATTTAATGTAAGTTACAAATTTACATGTATTTGATTTACGTTACAAATGTATGTGTATCTGATGTACGTTACAAATGTACGTGTATTTGATGTACGTTACAAATGTACGTGTATTTGATGTAAGTTACAAATTTACGTTTATTTGATGTACGTTACAAATGTACGTGTATCTGATGTATGTTACAAATGTACGTGTATTTAATGTACGTTACAAATGTACGTGTATTTGATGTAAGTTACAAATGTACGCGTATTTTGTGTACGTTACAAATGTTCGTGTATTTGATATACGTTACAAATGTACGTGTATTTGATATACGTTACAAATGTACGTGTATTTGATGTAAGTTACAAATGTACGCGTATTTAGTGTACGTTACAAATGTTCGTGTATTTGATATACGTTACAAATGTACGTGTATTTGATGTACGTTACAAATGTACGCGTATTTTGTGTACGTTAGAAAGCAAATAGTTTTACTGGAAACTCTTCAAATATGACAATTTCAAGTTTAAATTAAGTTTTCTGCTTTGAATGTGACTTTTAAATAGCTGATTTAGTGATTTGGCAAAGAAAGCAAAAAGTTTATAGTTGCAGGCAATCATGAATATAAAGAAACAGTATAAATTCCCTACAGTCGTCTCATCTGTTATGGGTAACCCTGTATATAAAGAGATATAATCTGGTTGGTAAGCAAATTATTACTCTAATATAAAAAAATTACAAATGTGAATGACCTGTTATAAGAAAACATTCTCCTCTCCAGTCCATCTTCTCTGTTCCGTAGATTTTAACAGTGTTATTTAAAGAAAGGGTCTTGGGTCCCCACCCCTCACCCTTCATGAGAGGGATAAATGCTTCCTCTGGTTCTCCATATACCACTCCTTGATACTGTGGGGACATTATAGCTACCGATATACAGGCCTAGAATATCAGGGTTTAAAGGAAGTGTTCCCGAAAAATAAAAAACGGTATAGAATCTATTATAATTAGTTTATCAATCAATCAAATCCTTTAAATTTCAATTGACTACTAGAGTAATATTCGATTAATAAGGTTTGTGTGATTAGGATATCGGAGGTATTCTAGCTGAAAAAAGAGTGCTGGGAATTGTCTAAACACTATGTCACCTCATGTTTCCTGGATTTCAGCCAGAAAAATAAGAATATCTCCGTCATCCTTGAACAGAAGGTTTAAATTTTATAAACGTATTTGACACTAACATGAATAGCTGCAGCAAAAAGCATGAGGAGTCCAAGCTGTTTTCTCATCTTTAACCATTTATCCAACCAGTTCGGAAATCTGAAATTAAAACAATAAATTTATTTAGATTTTTGATTTTTAACAATTTTACAAAAATGTACAACAAATTCTATGTGGCAATTTTTAGCTACAAATGCATTGAGTCTTTGCCACAAACTCAAGTTTTCTAATCCCTATCTTTGCAAGTGAAATTATTCGATCCAACTTAATTCAAAGTTTGAAATATCTCTGGTCTACGTCTATTGGGAAGCAAAGAGATAGGGATTAGAAAATGGCAGACTCAATTCCTTTAGCAAACTTTTCATTTTTTTCTGACTGCAAAACACAATTTTTGATTTGAACCCTTATACAGTTTTTTCCTCTATGCGTATAAAAATATAGTATTCTTTTAAAAATTAAATTCTATATACACGTGTTATTCTGTCTTTTTATGACGCAACGTGGCTTAATATTTTGCTACAGTGAGAACCAGAAAACTCTAGAATAAGAAGATTTTAGATAGGAAGAGCTAAGCTGTTAATTGACAGCTTTTCTTTCTTTCCATGTTTATGTGTATCCATGCTGTTTGAAAGCTTGGTAGAAATCAAAATCAAAATTTAAAGTTGTCTTTATTCTATAGATATAAACGAAGACGACTGTAAGTTGGTATTTAAACTATCTCCTTTGTTACAACATCAAATATACACTTAAGTATAGCTTTAATGACGTTTCCATATTTCACAGTTTTCTGGTTCTCATTTTATTATATTTTGTAAACCAAACCTTGAGTATTTTGTCCCTCTGAAGATCTGAACCCAGGCAGCAATGACTCCAGGTAGATAGCAGAGTGCTAGGCTGACCAGCGCGTGAACAGCCAGTGTTTTATTCATATTATCCATCGGAATATGATTCCATAACTCCCACAGAAACGTTTCACTCCAAGTAAGAGGCCAGCAAATCTGGAAAGAAATTTAAGAAATTCGCCATTTTGTTTTGTGTTTCCGATGTTTGGTTTGGAAAAATAAAGAAGATGGCCGCTATTTTTACAATCTTGTTATGCAATGTTTAAAGAATTTCCGTTTCGGGAGACCATGCTGTCAGCTTTAGAATAAAAACACTAAGTCATTTCTTTTAATTAAGTTAATTTCCATTATAGTAGATTTTGTTAAGATTTGATAAGCTTTAAACTTTTAACAACAACATGACAAAAATTTAATTACATGTAAACAATCAATTTCTATACTGTTCTATATATTGAAAATATTGAACCAGGCTTTTAGGGCGCTTCGCGGACATCTCCTATTTTAATTGTGAACCCGTTCTCTTTGTGTACAACAAAACAAAAAAGTTCGTGGATTTAGGACCAAAAAACTTTTATTTTTGCCTATAACTTATTCAATTTTTAACCGATTTTTATGATTTAACATTTTGGAATTTAGTGCTTCAAGACGGATTTGTTGGTATTTAGTAACCATATCGACATATTTTGAAAAAATAACTTTTAAGAAAAACGTGATTGCGCTGCATGAATTTGTAACTGAGAAAAAAAATTACATTTTTGTTTTGCATTTTATTATAGAAACTTTTAAGACACATGGTGAAAGGATCTGTCCATTTTTATCAAAAAACTGCCAAATTCTCCCACCCTTAATTCTAAGTTTATTGGGTCCTGCACTTTTAAAGGAAAAAATAGCTAAAATTGTGATTTACTACCAAGCGCGGGAAAACGCTGGTGTTCTCACTCTAGTATACAATATAGATTACAAAAATAAAACTGTTGAATATAAAGACGACATCTAAACAATCCCTATATTTTAAAATTTTAGTCTAAAAAGCATCTACATATTCAACATTTCATTGTATACAAAAACCAACCTGAACTGAAAACTTTAGAATGTGATATCCTTAATACAGATTGGTTAAAAAAATCTGGAGATTAATAACAAGAGGAGAACAAGCATTATTTAATCTGGAGATTAAGAAAAAGAGTGGATAAAGCATTAATCTTGATATCCACCATTCAAAAGTTCTCAGCTCTGGACATTCAGAAAATTTGGAAACCACAGAAGGACTTTATTTAAGTACCTGAAAAACCCATATTTATTTACAGTCTTAAAGCATGCTAACATGAACATGAACTCCGTTATCAAATAATCTAAGTTTAAAATATCAAAGATTTATATGCCATCAGGGATTTGAGAATTTGAGTTTGTAACAAATACTTAATTCCTTAATCAGATATAAAGGAATTGAATCTTTGCCACAAACTCTGATTTTCTAATCCCTATATCTTCAGAACACAATGCTGTAGACCTTTGATATTTCAAACTATGAATTCTACTAGTACAAATGATAAATATAAAAGGTTTACATTATCATGTTGCATAGATATAGAAAATTTGAGTCTGTAACAAAAAACTCAATTCCTTTCATTGTTTTGGTTATTATCTCAACTCTATAAACTTGAATACCTGGAATTTAGCGAATGATAAAGCGTATAGGAACACAAAGAGAATAATGTTGAGGATGAAAGGAACTTTCCATGCTGGGAACACGGAAACAGGAATATCTTCTATTGTTCTAGCTGCAGTGAGAGCTCCTAGATCTACGGGAACAAACCCTGCTCCTCGAACCAGATCTGAAACCTTCTCTTTAGACTCAGCTGAATCACCAGCGATGTAAACCTGAAGAAAAAGCATTCCAAGATCATAAAAGGTCATAAATAATTATATAAATTTTTGACTGATAGATCAAAAAAAATTTTAGATTTAAATTTTTAAAAAAACGCGAGTTGATCAGTGGGCACATCTTTCAATTGTTAACTATAAACAGTCGATTTCATTTCACTATGCCAAAGTTTGACCCTAGGAGAAGAGTTATTGAAAAAACAATCGTTTTTTTGTTAAGTTTTTCTCTTATGTAAATTTTGAGTGGTTTAATAAAAAAACTTTTACTGAATACCGTTTTAAAATTTTGGAACTTTCCCATCGCTATGCATGTCAATGTTAAGAGCCAAGGTCTCTCATGAATGATCATGAAGAATCATGTTAAATAAAGTATACAGTTCCTTTAAATACTTAAAAATTAATTTACCTGTTTACTCCCTTGGATACCCCCGGACTCAAGAGCATACGCGGACAGAACATTAAATCCTTTCACCACATTGGAGTTAGGGAACAAGCTTGACAAGTACTCAGCTTGGGATCTGAAATCAAGGATATTATAAAGGATTGATAAAAGTCAAGGATATTAGAAAGGATTGATAAAAACCAAGGATATTAGAAAGGATTGATAACAATCAAGGATATTAGAAATGATTGATAACAATCAAGGATATTAGAAAGGATTGATAACAATCAAGGATATTATAAAGAATTGATAATAATCAAAGATATTAGAAAGGATTGATAACAATCAAGGATATTAGAAAGGATTGATAACAACCAAGGATATTAGAAAGGATTGATAAAAAACAAGGATACTAGAAAGGATTGATAACAATCAAGGATATTAGAAAGAATTGATAACAATCAAGGTTATTAGAAAGGATTGATAACAATCAAGGATATTAGAAAGGATTGATAACAATCAAGGATACTAGAAAGGATTGGTAACATTCAAGGATATTAGAAAGGATTGGTAACAATCAAGGCTATTAGAAAGGATTAATAACTATCAAGAATGTTACATAGGATCCATAACAGTCAAGGATATTAGAAAGATTGATAAAAATCAAGAATATTAGAAAGGATTGATAACAATCAAAGACATTAGAAAGGATTGATAAAAATCAGGGATGTTAGAAAGGATTAATAACAAACAACTAAAAATATTTCTTTACAACTGCAATAATATTTTCAAAGGTTAGCAAAAAATAAAAGGATTTAATAAAAAAAAATTCAAAGGAATTGAGTTTTTGCCACACACTTTTCTGAAACCAATATCTTTGCAATCTAAAGTCGTAGACATTACATATTTCAAACTATTAATTATGTTGGATCAAATAATCTAAGTTTTAATAGCAAAGATGTTTACCATCAGGTTGCAAATATTTAGGGATTAGAAAATTTGAGTTTGTGACGAAAACTCAATTCCTTTCAAAAAATTTAAAACCTAAGATATTTTAATAGATTAGAAGTAAGTTATTTTAAATCAAGAATAAACTATGGATACTTTTCATAGAATTGCAGAAAACTAGGAATTTTGAAAAGGATTAATAAAAAAGTATTTTTCAAGTAAGTGATTCTATAGAAACTATATAAAATTTGTCTTATTTCTAGAATTTTAAGTTATTTAAAAAAACATTTTACAGAATTGACAAAACCAGTATTTTAAAAAATAATTTTGTCATTTCATGCTGGGGCCTTGTTAAAGGGACTGTTTGTGTTATTTAAGTGAATCTGTCCGATTCAAAACCCTTAAACATTTATCTGATTAAAAATGTCCGTATTTTTCTCGCTTTAAATTGATTAGTTTTCATTGCGGTTGTTTTAACTAAATAGATCATCAAGTTCAATAGGTGGCAACAGAGAAATGGACCAATTATACACGACGTCACAAGTGTCAAATATAACAAGGAAAACGAAATTTTCTCCCATTAGTTGACATGTTTTCCAAGATTAAATAAAAGTGTACAAACAGAAAATAAAGTAAAAATGCACTTATTTTACTGTAAGATAAGCACTTTATTCTAAAATTATCACTGTTATTGACAATTTTGTCAGACACAAAAACTGAATTGACTCTTGTGACGTCAGAAAACAGCTGTACTGAGAGTTTACAAATTCTACGTTGCCATCTATTGTACTAGAATCTGTTTGGTTCTACCTAAATGAGTTTTAGCATAAGCATGGAAGGACATTGACAAATAATCTCTGTTTAAGTTTTAAATAACTACTTATAACACTGTTTATTTTGGTTCGCAGTGTCAAAAAGTTTTTGGACAGAAATTTTTACTTTATCAATAATGTTTAAGCCTTTTCAGATTTAATTTTGTCCCGAGCTTTAGCGAGGGACAAAATATAATCTTAAAATGCGAGAACCTTCGAGATATAGAGAAAATTTAAGTACAAAAACTTTATAGCACGTCGTACCAAAATAATAGTGTTATAGGTAATTTTATGAAACGTTTGTAAAAAATACTTCGGAAATATCCTAAATTTTTTGGAAAAAATCCGGGAACCAATCAAAACTTTATAGCACACGTATAAAGTACTGCTAATTTAAATTTATAGCATGATTATTACTTTATAGCACGTTTATTATCAAATTCACTATGAAGTAAGTAAGAATGATAAATTACACAATAGTTTTATAAAAACGATATTTTATTAATGCCAACTCTGATAAATGTTTATAATACAAGCAAATAACTATTTAATGCAGCTAGGGTCATTGGAAATTAATCAGACAGTCCCATTAATTATTCCAGTATTAACAAGCATTTAAATCCTTTTTTTAAACCAATACATATTTAAAATAATTATCATCTTAAGCCTGAACTTTTGAAAAGAACAGGTCTAAGGAAAAAGTTTAAATACCAACAAAAATCAGAACAGGTTTTGGGAAAAGGAACTGAGTTTTTGCTGCAAACTGATGATTTTTATCTCTATATCTTCGCAACCCGTTTCTTTTAGATCAAAAAAGTATTAAAATTCGCCTTTAATTTACGCAGCACTCATATTCAATATATTTAGACAATTACCGTTTTTATTGCTCAAAAAAGTTTATTTTATTTTTTCTTACATAACTCATGATATTTAATCTTAAATTGAAGACATCATGGAATTTCCAATTTTCTAAATAAACACACTTTTTTACTGGAGGGTAAAGGGGGGTGGGGGTTCTGATACTTACATAGGTTCAGGATTCCGTATTGCAGTTCTGTTACTGACATCTACTAGAATCTTGTCTGTTAGAAGGTGTGCTGGGATGGTGTGATAGAATCCTTTAGGTATGGCTATTATGATGATATCAGCCCGACACGCTATCTCTATACTGCTCACTTCTACTCCAGCTGGTATCAGAGATCTAAAATATGTTTAGGTATAGCTATCATATGATGATATTAGATAGAAAAGCTATCTCTATACTACTCACTTCTACTCCAGCTGGTATCAAAGATCTAAAATATGTTTAGGTGTAGCTATCATATAATGATATTAGATAGAAAAGCTATCTCTATACTACTCACTTCTACTCCAGCTGGTATCGAGATCTAAATCATGTTTACGTATAGCTATCATATGATGATATCATAAAAGTTAGAAAAGCTATCTCTATACTACTCACTCCAGCTGGTATCAGAGATCTAAAACATGTTTAGGTATAGCTATCATGATGATATTAGCAAGACAAGCTATCTTTAATCTATACTGCATAAAATCAAAGCTCTGAAAACCTTGATCTAATTGATTTATAAAAAAATATAATTTCTAATTTAATTTCTCTATAAAACTAAAAGTGACTGGAGTATTTTACGAAGCTAATACTAAGAATGCTAATTACAAAATTAAATACTTTTTTAAATTGAATAAGGGCGATATTATTCCTATAGATGTTCAGATAAAGACTTAGAGACCACTGATGTGAATCAGGCATAATAACAAAGTTGGTTTATTCAATACTAGAAATTAAAGGCGCTTCGCGCCCATCTTCTATTTAAATTGTGAACATGTTCTTTTTGTTTACATTTTAAAACAAAGAAGAAACAAATTTTGCGGATTTTTGAAAAACAATTCGCGGATTTTCAAGAATTTAATTTTTTTTTTGCCGTAGAAACCCCCAGGCCACCCATCTGCAGTGTCCACAAAAAATGTCAGCCCATTCGGTCCAGCCGTTTGGCCGAAAATAGGCAACATATATATGAATGTCTTGTTATATTATATTGAAGATTTTCGAGTTTGTTCAATCAAACTAAAAATGTATTTTGGGACATGATAAGATAAATTCTGAGCTGAACAGAGCGGCTAGAAAAAGGAAAATAGTAAATAGTAATATAGTTCAGCAGTTTTGACGTTTATATAATACAAACAGACAAAAAGACAAACTGCAAACTGTATAAAGATATGACGCCTTTTTCAGAAAAATTTTGAAGTATTATTTTTGGATATTTGAATTCATCATCCTTACAAAAATAAAGATGGTTGTCATTGAATACAGGAGACTAGAGACTCAAGAGGCCCCAATTTCAGGGGAACATATTTACAAATGTAAATAATTTAAGAAAACACCTTCGTCATTCTTCGGGCCAGACAAAGAGACAGGTTTAACAAGATCACTTTCATGCTTGAACAGTTTATAAAATAAAATATAACAAACAACATGGTCGGCTGCAAAGAGCTATGTGTAATATGAAGAGTAAGCATTGGGTTTATACGCAAACCAGACGCCTCAATTGGGTTCAATAAGAAGCCATAGAATGTCGTCTTTTCTATAATTTAAAAAGACTTTAAAACTTTTTAGGAATTTCCATCACCAAAAACTTTCGTTTTTTACATAATTTGCCGTTAAAAATGCATTATTATCTTTTTAGATAAACTTTATCTTAAAACAGATTGTAATGTAATTGGTTAAAAATAATTTGGCTTTTTCGGGCCTTGCTCCCATTACTGGCCTAAAATTCTGCTTTAGACTATTTCAAAACTATACATCTAGCAAATTTTATTTTAAAACATTTGCTATTTTCATACAAATGAGATGCATAACAAAATCATAATTTTAGCTTTATTTTAGCAGGAGAGCATCCTATCCTATCACTGATTAAAACAAATTTAGAAGTTTATAACCGTGTCGCTATTTTTCCACAATTTTTAATTTATTTGAAAACTAAAGTTTTAATGTTGATTGTTTGAATTTAAAACAATTAATACTGCAGCCAATGACGTCATATAAAAGTGTACAGAGTGTACACACTATTCGGATAAATTCCTATTGCCCTATCTACTACTATTCTACCGTCTTTGGTTGGCTGTTTTTTTTATTCCATAGAAACTGATTTCAAAGACCCCCTCAAATACTTATAATCAAATATAAGACCGCGACGAAAGAAAAAATAATTTCATGTCATTCTTTGAAAAATTGTGTGAACTCATGTTATTTTCACGTGACAAGGCAAGAAAATTGCCGGAAAGAATAGAACTATATTTCTATATATATAATAATATACTAGATATACTAGATATATAATAATATACTATATATACTATATATA